GTTTTACAAATAGTAGTGAGAGAATAATTTAAAATCAAATGTCTCACAATAGGAAAACAAGGACTGTGGGGATGCAGAGGATGAAGCTGGAAAAAGGAAAATGGAGCTGGAAAAACTGGAAGGAACTGAGCTGCATAAAAGACTGACCGAGGTGGATCCCAAAATGGCCTCCATGTTGCACCCCAACAACAAGCGAAAGATAGCCAGGTGATTCTTCAGATGATGTCTTCACTTGATGAGTGATCTTGTAAATCTGCTTCATTCAAATGCATTCTAGTTATATTACTTTTTGTGACACAAATTTACATGTTTGACATTTATTGAATACATCTATCAATCTTAACTTTTAGAGCCAACAAACCAGTTGAAATGTGAGCAAAACTAGCCTTTTACCCAGTATTGTAGTTTTTTTTTTTTTTTTCAACCTTTATACAGGATTTTTTTTATACAGGAAGTCTCATTGAGTCGTGAGGACTCGTTTTCAAGAGAGACCTGTTTTAGACAAACAATAGAGTATAGACAACAATATACATTAATAAAAAGCAATTAAGATAAAAAAAATAGTGTCATAAAAAAGCAATCAAATCAACATGCCATATAAAACAAGGTAGAGTACTAAAAACAAGAATATATTTGCTTTGATTTTTCTATTGACTTTATCAAATGTTTGAAACCCATTAAAGAAACAAACTTCAGTTCTTGTTGCAAGGTGTTCCAGGAAACAGGAGCAGAGTAAGAAAAGGCCTTTTTTACCTAGTTCAGTCCACACTGAGGGAACGCTGCAGGTAATGATGTCCTGAGAGCGCACGCTGTAACTGCACTGACGACGTGACATGGAGGAGGAGATATAAGAAGGTAGGAGACCAAGGAGGGATTTATAGATGAAGATGAACCAGTGTGAGAGCCTTCGTGTAGATAATGATGACCAACTGACCAACAGTAGTTACTAGGGCTGGGCGATATCTTGATATTTTAAAAATACTGAGATAATTTCAACGCGATATATCGTCTATATCAATATTTCTACATTGAGTTATAATTGGATTTGAAAATCTGTGTTGTTGTTTTTCTCTCGTCTGCACTGCCAACTTATCGCGGCCCCACCTTCCCCCTCCCTGAATCCAAACCCAGCCCCTCACCTGTGAGCGTTCCCACTGCTTCCTGCTTCTCCAGGTGGGTGGAGGTTTAGCACAACAACACAGGAGACGATATCCAAGAGCATCTTATCTGCTGAGCAAAAAAACTAACAAACAATGGCTGTTATTTGGAGATGGTTTGGATTTAAATTGTCAGACGAGCAGCAGAAAAATGTTTTCAGTAGACAGTGCCGACAAGTCCCGACGACAAGGTCGGCACTACGAATCTTTTTCACGATTTAAAACGACGCTATAAGTGTGAAGCGTGTGTGAAGCTGCAGCTCCAACAGACTTCAGCCTCCTTCTCCGAGACAAACCACGGGTCAAACGTCGTGTAGCCGTGCTGTGCCTTATGAGAGGAACAGTGAGACAGCGCAACAT